ATTTGCCACCACTGCCATCAGCGTCGTCATGACCATACACCAGAATTGATGGTTTGCAAGATCACCCCACTACAGCAGCAAACCCAAGAAGAGACGGCTTTGCAGTATCAGCAAAGGCCTCAGGGGCCTCTTCAGACCACTGAAGGCCAGTGAACTGTCTTGGCAGAGACCATATCGGGACATTCCCATGCCAGACAGGATGACGCAAAGACTCCAAGATTGGGGAAACCTTTGGCGCATCCGTGAAGAGGGCGCCCCGCTTCAACCACCCTCCATACTTCAACAAGCGCAAGACCAAGTTGCCAAACTAGAACTGGCTATGCGGCTACACACAGGACCCAAGGTCATCGTGGCTGAAGAAGAAATGGCTCCTTTCTTGTATGTTGACAAAGGAGTGGCAGCCAGTTGTCCACAAGCCACTCTTGGCCAAAGCCTACTTAGCGCCAGTACTTGTCCCATGGGTCAAGATGCGCCCTGACGTACGTCAAAGGCTCACGAGCCTCGGGCTCAAAGTCAATCAGAAGAAGACGGCTTTATCGCCACTGATGCAGCCACCACTCGAGCAGGCACCACTCGAGCACTTGCTGCGCACCTCCGAGAAGATGAGCCTCCCATCAAAAATATGACGAGGAATCTCGGAATTGATCATCAAGGAGGTCGTAGGAGGCGCTGTGCTGAAGAAGCGTTTCGTCAAGGCCAAACAAAGACGACCCAAGCTCCACAGCCTCAAGCTTCCAAACCTCACCACGACGCTCAGGCTCCATCGGCTCTTGCCACCCAGCTGAGACATCAAAATGGAGGGCTCCTGGACCTGGACGTCGCCTATGATGTTCACAGCGCACGCTATCAAGATCCGGGAAGACCAAGTCGTCCTCCACCACCTCAACGCCGTCCACACTTTGCTCCAGGGCTGGCCCACGGATCAGTTGCCGCGTCCAACACGCCTGGAGATCAACTCCTACGACAAGAACACCCGTCGTGGCGCACGGTGAAAGGCCCTCTGGCTGCTGCCATCATCTACCTACGTATGTGAGTGGGGATGGAACACCAACGACCTCTTCCAGTGGCACGGACCTGAATCCCAATACCGGGTTGATGGGTTGCGGCTGCTATTGGTGGAAGATCGAACACCAGCTCCTTGATGAAGGCAAGCATCAGAGGCGCCGCCGTTTTGCCAGCAGATCTTGTAAATGTCCTTGATTGGACAGTAGCACCTCAAGCAACAGCGCAAGGACAACCGCAAATACCTCCGCAGCTGGATGCAGGCTGCCATCCACTACAGGCAGGGCAAAAAGACTAAACGGTGCTCCGATTTGCCAGGTCCCAGCCACGGCCAAACACATCTTGTGGTTGCGCAAATGGCATCACGACAAACGACGTATCGTCAACCCTGATGAAGACCCTTTGTGGACGGCAGGCTGGATACCTTTGCCCCCGAACACACCCACTTGAAGGTTTTGGCTGTTGGGCTCACCTGAACATCCTTGATGAGACTACCACGTTGGGTTGGGCTTTCACTCTCGATGCTGCCCCTTCAACCTATGATCAGCGCAGTCAGGCTTGGGTATTTTGGCCTTTGTTTGCGCAGCCATCACTCCGCCCACACCCCACACCAAGGCCCGTGCACTCTTTGCAGGCCTTGCTGGGCACACACACAGGGCTCTGTCCGAGTCGTCGCGCAGCTTGTCAGTGCCCCAGAAACATAGACTCACAGGCCAACAAACGACAAGGCTTGAAGAGCTCACAGACCAGGACAACCAGCGCATCAAAGTCTTTTATGTGAACAAGAACGCCAGCGCCCCGGAAGAGAACCGCATCTCCAACGCCGGCAACGTGATGCAGGTCTCACTGCTCGGGAACGGGCCCAAGAAGATTGGCAAAAAACCTTAGACGAGTACCATGAGGCCATCTACCAGCATGCAATCAACCGCCTGAAGCGCGTCTACGATGACCCTGCCCATTACACTCACAGCAAGGCGCCCCGTCATCAGGGAAGAAGACCAAACAGTACAAGAAGCAGCTCATTCGGACCTGCGCCAAGCCGTGGCAGGACACCAAACACCGCCTCACCGCAGTGGGTACCAACGCACAGCTTGTCACCAAGGCCTTGCCCACGCCTTCTTCATGCTCCTGAGCCTGGCCAGCTGAGAACCCAACACCGGCTGCTGGAAAAAAAAGCGCGACCGCGCCCAGGTCATCAAGGACCTTCTTCAACTCCAAGAGGAACAGCCACCAACACAAGAGATGCATCTTTTCGAAGAGACTGTAATCTACCTCAAGTGCACCCGCTGTGCAGGCCCCCTACAAACGAAACTGTGTTCCAGGACTTTGTCCAAGGGAGCTACGTCAATGAGAAGTTTGGTGACCATGGAGCGCATCCCACTCACCCATTGTGGAGGTTGGGCCATCGGATCAGCTGCGCATCTTGTGGCATCCAAGCCACCTGTGACAAGGAGAACAGACTTGTCATCACCGCCAATTTGAAGAAGCCTTGGAGGTGCGGCCACACGAGGCTCCCCTGACATCAAGACCCTCTTTGGCAGCAAACCGGCCAAAATGGCCCACGCACACCTCTAGGAAAAATACACGCGTACATACATTGACATACATACATACATACATACTTCCTTCCTTCCTTCCTTGCTTGCTTGCTTGCTTGCTTGCGTGCTTGCTTGCTTGCTTGCTTGCTTGCTTGCTTGCTTGCTTGCTTGCTTGC